ATCCATCATCATCCATCCACCATCCATCATCATCCATCATACATCCATCATCCATCATCATCCATCCACCATCCATCATTGCTCAATGGGATTAACCTGTCTAAATAAAGGTTGAATGAATTAATGAATCCATCCATCATACATCCATCATCATACATCCAACCAGCTATCATCCATCCATCATACATCTATCATTATACATCCAACCAGCTGTCATCCATCCATCATACATCCATCATCATACATCATCTGAAAAAGTCTTTTGGATGAAAAATGAAACGTTTCTACTTTTCTTGTTGTTGTTGTTTTTTTTTTTTGAACTTCCAGAGGACCAGACTTAACTTTTTTTAGATTTTTCTACCTGGATTATTGAGCAGCATCAGGATATAATTAATCATACATCATCTTACATCCATCCATCCATCTAGCCATCCATCCAACCAGCCATCATCCATCCAGCCATCCATCCATTCATCTAGCCAGCTATCCAGCCATTCATCCGTCCTTCCATCCATCTGTCCATTCATCCATCCATTAGCCATCCATCCACCCAAAAGCCCACCCAACCACTTTACCTGCTTCTTCCTTTATGGCTCCAGTCCATCACGAGGACACCTGGACAGGTCTCTAGTCCATCACAGAGACACCTGGACAGGTTTCTAGTCCATCACGAGGACACCTGGACAGGTCTCCAGTCCATCATGAGGACACCTGCACAGGTCTGCAGTCCAACACGAGGACACCTGCACAGGTCTCCAGTCCATCACGGGGCCTGACATAAAGTGATTTTACTAAAAATTATTTGGATTATACTTTTTCACTTTCTTTGTTGGACAACGTAGGTTTTATTTTGTGTTCATACTAACGTGAGACCTAGTCGTCCCTGAAGTAATGCATGTCGCCCGCCTCCTTCCACAGTTCGAGCTAAAGACGTGTGGTCCTCAGAGCTGTGAGTCTCAGCTGCTTCCACATTCAGGCCCAGATTCTGTCATTTAGTTACAAACATGTTGGTGGTTGCTACGACAACGCTCATCCAACCATTCCTTTCCAACAGTTTCAGATTGTTTACGGTAATTGTTCATGTGATATTTTGCTAACAGACACGCAGGCAGAAACATCAGCTTTGCCTTTTGGCGACAGGAAATCAAAAACTCTAACTTTGTGAATCAGGCTTCTCTTCCTCTGTTAATTCCTCAGATTTAGTTTTTGGTCTGAGGCAGCGGCGGCTCCGTGCTCAGGTCAGTGCTGCGCTCTTGTCATCTTGAGGTTGCGAGTTCGAGCCCAGGTTGCGCCAGGAAGAACATTCGGTTTACAACAGTTGCCAAACCCTTTATGTGAGTTTGCTCGCTGTGAGGGAGCAGCCGAAAGATTGAAAGAGGTCTAATCCAGAGTTGGGAGTAGATTAAATCTGCGGTCTGACACAGGAAGTTAATGTTAAACCGACTTCCTGTCAGATCAACACTCTACAACAATCTGAGCCTCGTCTACCCATCACACAGCACTCTACTACACAAAGACTAGTCTGACCTTTAGCACATGGGACACACATCAGAGACAATGAGGGGTTCAGTGTCCTGCCCAGGGACACTTCAGCATGTGACTGCTGCTGGAATTGAACCTCCAACTCTCCCATCTAACCACTCAGCCACAGCTGCCCAGAACAGCTCATAAGAAACTGCTATAAACTTTAATCTTTTTCATCTTTAACGCAGATTAATTCCTGTCCCGGCTGAAAAGTCTCGGCCGTTGCCGACGCCCACCCCCAGGTAGAAACTCCCACTCCAGAAAACAATTTATTTTGAAATCTCTTTATTTTCATCACTTTGTTTATTTCCTGTTAGGCTGAACGTGAGGGCGTCTCCACTTCCTGTAAGTCAAGTGTGGCAGAATGATTTGAGTTGTTGTTGTTGCAGAGTCTGACGTGTCCTCGTGTCCTTCAGGTCCAGGAGTCCAGCTGTGAGGACGAATATGAAGTCTGTGATCCAGACGACCGTGAGTCTTCATCGGTTTAACTCACAGGAGGAGCTTTAGCTCCATCTACAGGCAGCTGGGCTGAACAGGAGCTAGAAGCAACATTTTAGCTGCTTTCCTGTTCACAGCTTCTTCTGTCCGTTCTACAGCTACGTGCTTTGAGATATTTTAGCTCTTCACTTATCAAAACATTCACCTCGGTTAGGAAAGGTGTGCTAACTGTCAGTATTTGTAACTTTTATACTTTCTGAGTAATTTAGCTTTTTTAATTTTTGTTTTACAAAAACATCTTTTGAAAAACTTTCTTCACTTCCTTCAAACTTTTTGTTCCTGACTCTGTCGTCATCTCGTGCTTCTTTTAGCTTCTGTCTGAATAATTTTAGCATTTAACTAGTTTCACACAGTTTAACTTTTAGCTACCATTTTGCTTCATTTAAGGTTTTAGCTATGGTTTCACTCATTTCAGTTTTTAGCTACAAGTTTGCTCATTTTAGATTCTTTCTACAGTTTTGCTGATTTTAACTTTTTGTTGAGGTTTTGCTAAGTTTAGCTTTTAGCTACAGTTTGCTGATTCTAGCTTTCATTTTGTTTGTTTACTGCTCTGGTTTCACAAATTATATATATTTTTATTATTATTATTTTTTAGTTTTGCAAATAATATTTATTTCTACCAAGTTTTGGGTTTAGCTACAGTTTTGCAACTTTAGCTTATGTTTAAAGTTCTGCTGCATTTAGCTTTTAATGTCATGTTTAGCAGATTTTTAGCTGTTGTTCTTTGTGTTTGCTGCTATGCTTTTACTTATATGTTTTAGCTTCTTGCAACAGTTTAGCTTATAGTTTGACTGCCATGGTTTTGCTAGTTTTAGCTTTGTTTAGCTTGTTGCGGCTGTTTTGCTGATTTTAGCTTCTGTTTTTGTTTTGGCGTTAACGGTTCAGCAGACTTCAGTATTTTTTTACAGAAAATGTTTTTCTTTAATTAACTGCAACGTTTCCGTCTCGACGTGAACGTTCGCTCCTTCAGGTTCTGGTGACAAACCTGCAGCCGGTCCTGCTCGCCGACCCAAACCTTTAACCAAAGAGTAAGACGCGCTCACCTCGTCCGGTTCCTCGTCTTTACTCAAAGTTTGTGTGTCAGAAAAATAACCGAGCGTCTGTCTGTTTCTGCAGAAGGTCACCAAAGCCACCGCTGGTTCCGGTAAGAACCCTCTGAAGAACTTTGTCTTTTCTCACGTTGCCTGGAGCTTCCTCTGAAATAAATCTGCTCTCGTTTATTCTCCGATGTTTAAAACCATCAAATGTGACTTTTTATCGCAGAAACCAGATTTAAAACCGAGGGCGTTTGAGAGTAAGTTGACGAGCACTTCCTGTTTTCCTGTTTTTCACATTAAAGCAGCGTGAAAGCTCATAAAACAGCAGATTACGTGTTTACGTCGCACTAAGTGATCAACAGAAAGCAGGCTAAATTTAGGATGTGCGTTTCTGAAGGCAGGTCCCTTCCTGTGGTGCAGACGGAGCCCAAACCCCCTCCCAAAGCCGCCTCTCTGGACTTGAAACGACAGAAGTAAGGCGGCGTCCAACACGACCGGACGTTAGATTGAACACGTGCAGATTATAATCCCACGTTTTTCATGTTTTGCAGATTTTCTCTCCTGCAGTTTACCTTGCCCAGTAAGTAGAGATCATTGTTGGTTTCCCACCAGTTGGACAACAGTCTGTTCTTAAATAAATCCACTTGTTGTTGACAGAAGCAGCTGACAGAGGAGCTGCAGCTGACGCTGGATCCACAGGATCCACAAGTCAAGACCAGGTGATATAAAACCATTCACTGGACTTTTACACTCGGAGTTGTGCTTTAAGGTGTTCCTGACGTTTCTCCCCGCAGGATGCAGACGTCGGGAACAAGCCCTGGTTTGCTGCGGCGTGTGACCGCAGGACTGCAGACGACGCGCTGCTTCGATCCAATAAGGTCCGACTCCTGTTAGGGAGAGCTCTGACGATTGTTTCCCTCCTGAGTCCGTGCTGGGATGAACTGGGCCGGTCTGTTCCACTTTCAGGACGGAGCGTTTCTGGTGAGGAACAGCTCGGGTCAGGATGCGCAGCAGCCCTACACCTTGGTGGTGCTCTACAACAGCCGAGTGTACAACATCCCCATCCGGTTCATCTCGGCCACGCAGCAGTACGCTCTGGGTCGAGCGAAGAGAGGAGAGGAGGTACGGCTGCAACTTCAGGGTTGGGTCGACATCGTTTGGTGTTTTTTACACCACCCTTACGTGGTGGAGGCTCCAGGGGGTTTGAACTGTGTGTAAATATGGAAAGCAGCATCGGTGTGACTAACGTGTCTTTACGTGTCCACCTGCAGTACTTCAGCAGCGTCTCACACATCATCGACAACCACCAGAAGACCCCTCTGGTTCTGATCGACATTCAGAGTAACAGCAAAGACGCCACTAAACTGTGCCACCCAGTGAAACCATAATCACCAGTGACCGCAGAGACAGTCTGACAACAGGAACCATGGAGCCGTTTGTTTTTATCATTTTTTATTTACTCCTCATTTTACACGATTGTTGTCGTCTGCTCCTCCTCTGCTCGTTGTTGAAAGGAGCTCTCTGTTGGAAACGAGTCCTCGAGGCTCAGTGAGACCAGCCTGTGGAAATAAAGACTGAATGAAAATAGATGACGAGCGACACGATTCACTTTATTTATAAAGCAACAAATCACAAGAGGAGTCGTCTCAGGACACCGAACACAAACATTCATGTACAGAAGTCCCTCGTTTATCACTGGAGATCGTATTTGAACCCCGTGCGACTTCACAAGTTCTCCCACTAACAAGTCACGGAGGGTCTGAAATGTTCTTCTGAGGTTCATGTCCACTGTGAGACATCATCTAAACAAAAATCCTGAAATCTCAACGTATGATTTTTAAATAATTTACTTGTGTGTTACTGCTGCAAATAAGTATTTGAACACCTGTGAACATCACTGTTAACATTTGGTACAGTATCTTTGTTTGCAGTGACAGAGGTCAGATGTTTCCTGTAGTTCTTCACCAGGTTCACTGCAGCAGGACTGAGGCCCATTCCTCCACAGATCTTCTCTACATCACCAGGTTTCTGGGCTGTCACTGAGAAACACGGAGCTTGAGCTCCCTCCAAAGATTTTCTACAGGGTTCAGGTCTGGAGACTGGCTGGACCACTCCAGAACCTTGATATGTTCTTACGGAGCCACTCCTTGGTTCTCCTGGCTGTGAGCTTCAGGTCATTGTCATGTTGGAAGACCCAGCCACGACTCATCTTCAATGCTCTAAATGAGGGAAGAAGGTCGTTGCCCAAAATCTCACGATACATGGCCCCGGTCATCCTCTCCTTAATACAGTGCAGTCGTCCTGTCCCATGTGCAGAAAAACACCCCCAGAGCATGATGCTTCCACCCCCATGCTTCACAGCAGGGATGGTGTTTTTGGGATGGTCCTCATCATTCTTCATCCTCCAAACACACTGAGTGGAATTAAGACCAAAAAGTTCTATTCTGGTCTCATGTGACCACAGAACTTTCTCCCATGACTCCTCTGGATCATCCAAATGGTCCTGGTCAAACTTAAGACGGGCCTGGACGTGTGCTGATTTAAGCAGGGGAACCTTCGTGCCATGCATGATTTAAACTATGACGTCTTAGTGTATTACCCACAGTAACCATGGAAACAGTGGTGCCAGCTCTCTTCAGGTCATGGACCAGCTCCTCCATGTAGTTCTGGGCTGATTCCTCACCTTTCCTAGGATCATTGATACGCCACGAGGTGAGATCTTGCATGGAGCCCCAGTCCGAGGGAGATTGACTGTCATGTTTAGATTCTTCCATTTTCTAATAGTTGCTCCAACAGTTGATCTTTTTTCACCAAGCTGCTTGGCACTTGCCTCGTAGATCTTTCCAGCCTTGTGGAGGTCTACAATTTAGTCTCTTGTGTCTTTGGACAGCTCTTTGGTCTTAGCCATGTTAGTAGTTGGAGTCTTACTGACTGTGTGGGGTGGACAAGTGTCTTCATGCAGCTACCGACCTCAAACAGGTGCTTCTCATTTAGAATAAGAAGTGGAGGAGGACTAACAGGTCTTTGAGGACCAGAACTGTTGCTGATTGGCAGGTGTTCAAATACTTATTTTCCTCACTGTATATATATATATATATATATATATATATACA